CACCCAGCTTGTCAGCCCCCAAACAGCACTATTACTAGCTCAAGCCAAAGCATCTGTCTCACTTGAGAATAACAAAGACATCTTCTCATAATCATCTAGAAGAGGGAGTTCTGAAATTAAAAACAAAGCCAGACAAAAGAAATGCATTTCTCAACACACAGCCACCTGAGCACTTCAAAAGCTGGGTACCTGTCTACCTGCAGGTAGGATGGTTGATTGCCTACCCAAGCAATTTATTACTCGCTCAGATGATTCAGGTAGTGCCTCCTACTTCAACACCTACTCATCCTCACTAGTAAGCAAAGACATATGGAAAGAGGGATGATGTATTACACAGCATTGCAAGATGGCATTCCAGCCCAGAATGCCACCTCATATATGCCTTGTGCCTATGATTTTGTCAGCCATTTTGGTTTATCTTTCACATAAAGAAATGGACTGGAAGAAAATAACACAGAATTACCAGAAAAAGCAGTCATGAAAAATACTTCCAAGCTTTCCTTTCACCAGCATCTCTGTCACATTTTTGACACAGTTTCCCATAAGAGGCCTGACACTCCTCAAGCACAGAATGAAATCATTAAAGTAGATTTGAGTTTCATACACTTAATTCATCTACTAAAGAGGAAAAAAACCTTTCAGGATTGTTCTAATCATTGATCCAGTAAGTTATGGGCCAGGTCCAGAGATGCTTACTATAGCAGAATGGCATCTTCATTTGGACTGAGACCAGTCATGTACAATTCAACATAAGTAATGTCTCAGAGTCTAGCCTGGTGAAACCAGACATGAATAAATATATATAAATATATATGTTAAGTGATTAACAATTAACACACAAATCACTTGTGCTGAGCAGCACCATGTGCAATGATTGACACTAAGTGCAGTTGGGAGCAGGAAATCACTGATTTTCAATTAATATTTAAGCAGGAAATCATTTACTATTGATTGTTATTAGGCAGACAGTGTTGTACTGAATTAGTGCAAAATGATCTGATACATAAAAAACCTACCATTAATCAAGGTAGTATTAAGAGAATTTAACTGCATACTTTAAACAGCTCTTATTTGTTTAAGCCTTCCACAACAATCTACACAGCCCACTTACAAGATACAGTTTACTGCTAAGATTAATGCTGTTTTCTATATTTATGAAAAGTCTCTTATGTGGGCCCTCACATCAGAAAAAGACTTTATACAGTGGTTTCTGCTAAAAGGTTGTTTGACAACTGATACAATGCAACTGCCACAGCCAATCCTTCTTCTCTCTACAGAAAAGTAGAGGTATTTCAGACTCAACATCTGATAAAGATTTCAATAGCCTCTCTTTTTAACTCTGAAACTTCAGATTACCATACTATATCAGTATCATTTTTGTTTGATGTGGGATCATATTCAACCTGCTATGGCTAACCAATGTAATATGCAAGTTCAAGAGAACAGCATCCCCCCTTCAGATGACTGGTAATCCAGAGCTTCCACACCTGACTCCAGGTTGTTGCCTGCATAGCAGGCAACAAAGAGAAGTTGTGGAACTGAAACACTCCATGACTGTATTCCCATTTATGCTTTGCTTTGCACAGGCATATTAAGATCTGAACTGACCCTATGCAACATGGGCATGTCTGCGAGGTATCCAGTTGGAATACAGTCTCTCTTTGATCCGTGTCTTGGCGGTAAGGATGGAAAGACACCTCAAGAGCATTACTCCAATTGCTTCAGATCTAAATCAAGTCTGGAGCTGCCAACCTCTTGATGAGGTAAGCTAAAACCAAGACAAAAATCTTTCAGGGCTCATATCCTGAACCCATTAAACAGATGAATGAACAGAATGATGAACAGAAATAAACTATTATGTCCACTGAGTATGAAAAAATGAGACCCAAATAGACACCTAACGATACAGGAATGGCTCTCAGTTCTGTCAAGCTCTGGTTTGGTATCTTACTTTTAAGATGCCTTCTTACCACGTGCTTGCAAAGACACAGACTCCTCAATGTCTTATTGATCAGAGCCTTCAACTTTAGCAACATCTTTGAGCAACAGAGGAAAAAAATATTTTTCATCCAAAAATTTACACACAAAACTTTCAGTAAAAGATTTTTCCTACTTTACTTCTGAGGAAAAGGCCTGGCTGAATCTTCCAGCTTTAGAGAAAGGTCTGACTGAGTTTGAAGCCAACTAATAAATTTGTTAATTAATGAACTGGCAGCTCCTGAAATGGTTGCCACATTTTCAGTTACCCACATCCAAACCCAGCCTTTTATCTCAAATCCTCTCCCACTTTCAATGAAATTCCACATCACCTGTTCCTACAGTACCACAGCATTAACCTCTGAACTGATCTCAGAAAGTTCTCTTTTCTCAAAAAAAAGATACCCAATCTCCTGTACTACACAGACATTTGAAACTGCCCCTTATGCAGTTTTATTCTTGACCAGCTCATCCTCACCTCTGCAACTTTTCTCAGTCTCCAGGCATCAGTAGTCATTTTCCCATTATGCAACCCACATTTCCCAATACAAATCACAATGCTAAAATCACTGCTCTGCTTTGTTCTGTACCCGCTTATCTTCATTTACTACTCCCTTTCCTCCCTCTATCATATCTGTCAAAGTTTCCCAACCTCTCCTCCCTCCTTTCAAGCTATCTCTAAAATGCCCCATGTGAATCCTCCTCATATTCTCATCTTTCTACCCTCCTCATTTAGGCTTTGCTCCCTTTTGTTATTCACCAAGTTACTTTTCTCCTCATTTGCCATTCACTTGCAGTGCATTTCTCCCACAAAGCATCTTAATCATAATGCTATAGAGATATTTTTAAATCTCCATTAATAAGAAATGTGAATATATAACCCATGTATTTCACACAGCTCAATACCTTCTGTCTCTCTCAGCCAAGCCTATTGTAGGCTCCATGGGGTAGCAGCATTTTCTCCTTGTGTATCTGTATAGTACCAAGTACTCTCCTGGAGCTCAGCAAATAATAAAGCAGTTGTGTATCTTAAAGAAATGAGATAACACAGTAATAATGACCATACACATATGCAGTAACTTTTCTCCAGATGGATTCCAAAGCACTCTATACCATTTGCCAATTAACGGTACAAAATAAAGTATTTACATAGGACTCATTTCACCCACGAACAATGGCATAATGCCAGCCATGCCTTAATTGCATAGAGTTACACAATGCAAATTTAAGACAGGAAGTGAAGACTCAACGTCATATTTCAGGGAGAATTAAAGCTGGTGTATTATAATTACCAGAACTGGTTGTAAAATGCAAACAAATTCTCAAAATGATTAAAAAAATGTCAGTTTTTGCTAGAATTCTGGAAATATCCAAACCATTTTTATCTGGCCAATGAAGGGAAGAGTTAAACACACCCCAGACTCTGAACACTTCCAAAGGTTGCTGCAATTTAAAGGGAAAAAAAAAAAAAAAGGCAAAAACTGGTGTACTCCTGAATAGCTTTAATAATACTTTAAACTGGAAACTAGCCAGGACCTGGGTCCTCTTTAACAATTGTTGAAGGATTTTACTCATCATAAACTGGGACTTCAGATGACAGGAAATATCGTATGTTGTGGAAATCTCAAAAAAAAGCAATTTAACTGTGCATTCATACATCCAGATTCAAATTATAACTTAAGTGAATGAGCTTAATAAGAGCTGAAGTAATTCCTGCTCATATTTTTCCACACACCAACAAATTCACAGTCAAGCTTAGCACTAATATTTAAACCAAAGTTCTGTAAGTAAAAGCAACCCTTAGTTCTCAAAAGACTTTCAATTGGGTGAAGCCTTGGCACTGGTCAGATCATTCAGAATGTTTTCACTAAGTTTAACATAGTCAGGGTTTCACCCACAATCCAGGGGATGGAGAAGTGGATAATGAAAAAAATATTTTGAATAAATTATTCTCTGATTGCTCAAAAATTATGAATAATTTATTTGGAGAAGAGTATTCAGCCATACATAAAGCTCATCGAAGAGGGGCAAATGTGTTTCTGAGTCATTTATTCAACAATTAATGGAAAGAAAATTATTTGACATCACAAATGTCATTCAAATAGCTCTAGACTATAGTAACCTGGTTTCCAGTTGACTCAGTATGACTTTTAGAAAAGTGCCAGGTTTTCACACACACTAAGCTTTCTTTCATTATTTGAGATCCTCTTGTTTCTATTTTCCCCTTTACCCTAGCAAAATATCTTCTTTTTCCACTACCACCGCCACTGTTGCAGGCCTGACTTGCTTTGACTGGTAGCCCAGAATGCAACTGTGGTACTGGGCTTGAAATGATCTCTCCCTTTGCCAGGAAGCCTGAAGCAAAGGAAAACAAGGATATATACGTTTGAATTCCTGAATATATACTAGGTGGAAAGCAGAGAGGAAATCCACCTCAAAACAACAGCATGAGTCAGAGGAAAAACAGAAGAGGTGAGACAAGAGTAGTAGCCACATTCCCCCAAAGCCCCTCTTCCACACATGTCCGTGCTTGGACCCACATGCCTGCAGGGACCCGGGAGCATCAATGCACAGCCAGAGTGAATTTCCATTCTCAAGCCACAACATGATTCATCACAACCACTGGCCAACTAGGTTGCTGTTGAAAAGAAACCCTGGCATTTGGTGTAATTATGCTTTCTTAACTATAGCAATGTTAAATGCAGGAAATCGATTTTGTTATCATTGTTTTTCCAACATGCATTTAAAATGTAGCATTGTGAACACTGGCTGGTGTTACTCCCTCCACGGGATTTTCTCAGTGCCTTAAGCACAGCATAATAGAGTGCACTCATCTTTCAACAAGTTGACACTTCCCCCCCCCCCCCAAATGCAACTTAAACAATAAAGGTTAGATTTAAAGACACAGCAAGACAAACAGCACTGTTTTTTTCTTTAAGTTATTCACTAGCATTTAATGAGGATTTCCAGGGTACTGTAAGCCTTCAAGGTGAAACAGAAATGAATTGCTAAAGAGAATTTACCTGAGAAGGAGAGGTGGAAGAAGGAGTGTCTGGTGTTCTGATAAATATGGAATTGGTTCTCTTCATACACAAGGTACACAGAAATTGGTGACTTATTTCTTGTGTTCTGAGTAAGAAAAAAGGCAAAGTGAAGAAGAAGAAGCTAAAATGATCAGAGCACAAGGCTGTATAATAGCTATTCTAAAGCAAAAAAAAAAAAAAAAAAGCCAGCACTTTTCAGCCAGATCTGCTTTAAAATAATGGCACACAGGACTAGGTACAATATTTTCTTAATTTAGAATTTTATAATACAATCTGATTTGGCATCTACAATATATAATCATCAGCGGAATGTAAATGCTATAATCCTTGTGACAACATCTATTCTACCTACTCTTTTTGCTGCTATTTTAGTTTGATTCTAAGAAATCATTCCACAGCAAGTATTACTTCTATTAAGAAAGGTTAAGCATTGCTGAGTTCTGCTTAACAAAATCTTATTTACCTGAATAAATAGCTCCCTAGAAATGATGAATACACACAGTAATGTGCATGCCTCCATTTACACATAATATACATCCATTAACACTCACTGTGCAACAGAAAGTACCAAAGAGCTATGTGCCTCTATCAGTTGAAAGAGATTTATTTAGCAGAGTATGATTCTAAAGGTAAGTTCTTTTTTAATACTTAGACTCTTTGTTGGCCTGTATCAGACACAGAATCAAAGAATGGTTTGGGTTGAGATGAACAAGATCTGGAGCTGGAAAGAAGATAAAAAGCAGGTGGTGTGGTTTACAGGGCAAGTCATTCCTTCAGTGGCATTTATCTATGTAGGTCACACCTGAACCCATGCAGTGCCAAGGACATGATACCATTGGAGGTGCTGCCTTTGAGAGGAGATGTACGGCCTGGTGTTAACCTCCATAAAACCAGCAGAAGCATGAGGTCACTGCTGGGAACAAAAGGCAGCAATCAGAGGAACCTGCCGATCACTGAACAGCCCTGGGGCTTACTACAAGCTTGGCGGGATCTCCAGTCCTCTGACCTCACCGATTAGCAAGATGGGAGAAGGGAAGAGATGGAAAGGGTTTGTAAGGAAGATGAAAGAGCAACTGAATCCTGACAAAGCAACCTTCCTAAGAGCCCTGTGTCTAATGTCAGCAGTTAGTTTGTATTTTCACATTTAATTTGGACACTACTGGACCAAAGTCTCCCAGGCACAACCTGTCACCACACTGATTTCAACAGTGTTAAAGTGGGATGCATTTGTCCTGTTGATTACATTTTAAATTGCCCTCATCTCCTCTTTATGCTTGTAGCTTTAGACTGAGATTTCTTCTCTGCATTTATTTCAAGCAGCAGCCTTGTCACATATTATAGCATTCACACTACTGACCATTTAACCACCCAACCCCCTTGAAAGAAAATAAGTGTTTCTTTTTCTCTCCCCTCTCTAGCAGATCAATGTTCAGGTCCTATCCATTCTCTATGGAAATGACCCCTCTGTCAATATCCTGTTACCTAATATTTACCACACTGGTGCAGAGTCCAAAAGGTAAATTTGAAAAGAGGTGATTTCAGCCCTCATGAACAACTAACCAAGAAATGCTTGGGGAAGGGCAGGCACGTAGGATTTGTTAGCTGTGGCAGGGCTACAAAAGCCATTCACAACACCCTTGTTGACATTGCTTTACTTCTTCAGGACTCTGCTTGCTAATAAAACTGCAGAAGGATTAACCAAGGAGTTTCACAGAAATCGCCACAAAATCCCTTAGCATTTTTAAGCAGAACCCCCTTGGCACCGATTTTACAGATGACATACTGAAAAGGTTGGGATTTTTCATTGCTTTTTTTTTTTTTTCCTCTCTCTCTCTCTTAAAGAAAATAGGATTAGAGGTAGAGGCTTTTATATTCCACCACTTCTGAGACATATGTTCTGCTCTCCCACCAGTTATGAAGTGATTACTGGAGTGGCACAAACAGATTTTTTTTAACAAAGTAAAGGTGTGATTTTCTCAGGTTCTGTGAGAACATGCACACTTATTTTTACCAACCCAATCTGTTTTCCAGTAGTTTAATGTCCGCAGGGTTTATAAGGCTATCTTAGGCGTTGGATGCAACGCAGCTTGCAGGGTGCTACCTGACTATGGAACTTTAGAGAAAAAGACACAGAGAAAGCAGAAATAATACGAGACTCAAAGTAATTTGGAGACAGATTTAAATATACAAAAAGACCGACCTTTTTTGCTGCCTGCCCATATATAGTTCTCTAAAGCCTGAGGGCCCCCATATCCTAAATACCTGCTTCAGTTTAGAAACCTCACTGAAGATTTATCCTAAAAATAATTTACATATTCAGCCTGACTTTAAAAAGTATTATTTTTACTCCACAAAAAGGAATTTGATCTTACAAACACTCACTGCCGGGAACAGCAATTCCCATGTGGGAAATGGGACTTGATCTCTTGCACCTTGCCTACTTAAACTGACAGCAAAATGTTACCAAAGGAACAAGTGGAGAGATTTGATTTTATAGCAGTTCACACCATTTTTCAGGTATAGAAAGACTGTGACAAGGAGATTTCTCCACAAGGCAGTATAGGGAAAGGGTTCACACCTGAACTGGACTACTCAACCATTCCAGATTCTCAGCCAAAAATCTATAACCACACTGACAAAAGACATTTCTCCTCCAAAAGACTTAAAGCTAAGTTTTGGTTTGTTACACCAAGACAAATTTAGAATAACCACGTCAAAGGCAGTGAAGTTACTCAGGACCAGAAGAAGTAAGAACAGAATTTGGCAAGGTCTGCAAGGGAAGTAGTCAGTTAACATTTAATCCTTGATGAAAATCTTCAGGTCAAGTCTTCACACAAAGAATTTACACTGGTTTAAAAACAGACTATCTGAAAACCCTTTCATGGATGTATTTCAGACAGGCATAATATCAGTATAGCTCATAATTTAGCAACACCAGCTAAGCTGTAGGAGCTGTAGGTTTCCAGCCTGGTTGAAATCTATACACTTGAGCTTCTGCAAAGTTATGAAGTAATTTTAAGTATATAGCACGTCTGATAAAAACTCCTTTTGTTAAATCACTGAAACTTTACAGGTAGACAACAGTCTTTCTTACATAGGACAACACGCCTGAAATATGGTTCTGCTCAATGACTTTATCAGTGCTATTAAGACAAGGGGTTTCAGGGTATTTTGTTGGCACAGGATAGTTCAGCCCTCCTAATCAAGATTTTTCTCAAGAACAGTCTTCATCCTTACCTCTACACTGTGGGATTGGACAGTGAGGTCAAAGTTGTTAGTCCCTGACAAAAGCCTTAGCAGGTCCCACTAAGGACGCTCGGTAGGATTTTTTGTTGCTTGTTATTTTGGATGAACAGTACCCCCTCCTTGCAAACTGGGATTTTCAGCACAGCCTCATACGAGTTAATCAGGCCATACTCACAGGAGCAGCAAGGTCTTGTTTTCAGCAGCAGAGGTGGCGACCCTTTGGTTACAGGCATACAGGCACTTCGGACCCCTCTGAAATGCAGCTTACATGAAATGGAAAGCTTAACTGTAAAACTGACAGGAGAATAAATACTGTGAAAAATCACATTAAAACTTAGTGAGCAGATAACGCTTTTGTAGGAAGCATCTAGAAATAGCCTTAGTCATTTCATCTATAGACCTCTCACAATTCCAAAGGCACCTCTGATTTCAAAGTTGCTCTTACAGCTTTTTTCTTCCCTGCTTGGCTGTTACAGTACTTCCTACTACCGAAACAGATCCACAGAGATGGAATAGTGATGTTTCACTCTTTTTTTTCACATAAGCTCCCCATCCCCTCTTATCCCACCCATTTCTTTCCTTGGCTTTACCAAATTTGTATCAGACAAAGCTATGAACAAATAAACATTCACCCTTTTAAAATTTACTATGTATGCTGTGTTATCCCATAACTACGTGATGGTCATCTCAAACATCTTGCATTGGTATAACAAGTTATTTTTATTTTTACTATCTGCTTATTATCATCATTAAAAAGAAACAAAATACAAATTAAAGTGCAATAATCTATGGCAATGCAAAATGTTAAGTATCTGCTTTAGATCCACAGAGGCAAGGAAATTAAAAGAGGCTTAAACTCTGAGCTAATGCTTCATCCCTAATTCATTCTCTTGTGCCCATATATTGAAGTCTCAGCACAATGAATCTGTGAAAAGACACACTAATGTGTTGTGGAACTGTGGTACAATAAATTGATAGGGAATTTAATGTAACTCTGATCAGAGGCTGGGCCAGAGATTTCAGTGATGAGTAATAGCAAGCAAAGAATTTACATTTTAATTCAGGCTTTCCTTGAATTATTGGCTTTAATTCATACTCCAGATACTTTTCGGAAAGAAGGCTTCTGCTGAGGCATCCTATACAAGGCAATGAATGTCTGACAGCAGTTAGTACTTTGTGATTTAATTGCACTGGTATTTCTTAAAAATAAAGGTCATATGTCACAAAACAACATCAGGGTCTGAACCTCTTCTCTTAAAGACTACTGAAAATTATTAAGTCCCCTTTACAACAGGAGGAGCATACCAGTTCTAATATTGCAGAGTATGTTTGTACTCACAAAGGGCTCACAAGATCTCATAATCCTATATTCTAACAAAGCAAAAATATCTTATATGGTATTAACATCAAATCAAACAGAAACTCTGCTCTGTGATAGATTTTTTTCAAGAAGCTTGCTTTTCAAAGTTCTTTCTGCTTCAAGCTTGCTTTTTAGATTTGCTATGAAATGAAACACGAATTTAAAGAGTGGAGATTCAGAAAAAATAGAGAAACGGTGTAGTCTTTCCACTTAAATACCCATGCTGAAATGACAAAGGAGGTGTATGCAAAATCACTGCAAATAAATTGCTACATGTGCCGTATCTCGTAGAACTGCTGAACAGTTTTTATTACATTTTTGTTCATTGGAGATTGCTATAGAGATCTCTGCATTGCAAGTAGCCACACCATTTCAGTGCTTTGCTGTTTCAGAAGAGCAGATTTTCTTGATTAATAACAAAAGGTTTTGTTGGGATCAGAGCTGTTTCCCACCATCTCTATGCAAACCCGGCAACACAAACTGTGTACATTAGCATTTCAAGGAGCCTCCTATTAATGATGGCAAGAAAAGCTCCTCTCGGTGGGTAAAATCCATTTTGTCCTCTCTTGTGACATCTGTTCTAACTTTTAAAGCCAGAAAGGAAACTAGATAATGCCAGAGAGTCTTTTGATTTACTGTATTGGCACTTGTGATGATGCTTCAGACTATAAAAGCATGTAACCCTAGTGGACATACATGACTGTGTAAATGTGAACATCTGCATATTCCCACAACATAGGGTGAATTGAAGAAGTAATTCCAAAGTTCTTTGTTAAACTTTTAACTAGCTTTTTTTTTTTCAGGATTTCATAATTATGCTTTCAATTACTTCTATACCGTACAAAATTCAACATTTTAAATTGTATTTTTATGTAAATGCTTACTGCTACATATGTTTTTTGAATTAATTTCATTTCCCAAAGCTTCACATTTTTTTTAACATCTTTTTGTGAGTAAAGCCTTTGAAGCAAATGGAGTTGGAGGAACTCAAATATGGTTAAAAAAATAAAACCCAAACAGTGTAGGATAAGAAAAAGTAAACTAAACCCTGCAGATTTCTTACCTCTTTACACCATCTGTGCAGTATTGCTCTTAGGCCTTTTACATTGGTCATCCTGGGAACAAAGCTGAAGGCAGATTCCAGCAGTTTTTCCATTCACTATTCATTCAGAGGTTCATCAGCTCCATATGGATCCAGCCAACTGCTGTGTTAAATCAGAGCCTTTTCCCAGAATTGACATGGTAATGAAGTCATGGTATTGCTCACAGAAAAGGCCTCCATAGGTATTTTCCTCTCTAACAAATCCAGCCTTTTCACCCCATTCACTCCCTAAAATTATCTCATAACGTTACAACATCTGTGAACTGCGTTTTTGCCTTTTAATGTCTAGCATGTTTTATTACACGACTATGCATTACATACTGGTTAACAAGACTCCTACATAACCAAGGAAATAAAATAAACTTGCTCTTTTCTTTTTGCAGCTCAGAATATTTCATCTCCTTTTAATTTATACCTGCTACCTTTATTTTTCTCCATATAGAGCTGTGCAAAGTAGTGATGTACAAGAAACTCCCATTTTTCTGATTTCTATCAGAAAATGGGTTTAGAAATATTCCAGCATGAAAAATTCTTTAACCACAAAACGGTAAACCCATCAATACAAAAAATTGCTAAAGGGAAACTGTTAAGGGCAACTATGTTCTAGCTAACAGTTTCCTTCACTTCGTAAGATGTATGGATCTGAACTTTGCTTGAACAGCAATGGTTCAATATTTGATAAAGAATAAATATGAAAAAGATTATTTCTGTAACATGCCATCTGCAATGAATATGTAGATACTGCCTTGATATGACCGCACACGGTTGCTTTATTGGAATACTACATCTTTCTCATAGTAATAATGTACTTCAACAACTATGATCTATGAAACCAGGTATCATTATAGATGCGTATGTCCAAGGTTAGCCATATACTGACTAAAGAGAACAGTTAGTTACTCACAGTTAGTGTAGCTTTTTGAGATGGTTTATCAATATGTATTCAGGTTCTAGTCCACATATAACCCAACACTTTTTTTTCTGTGTGAGTCAAGACCGTGTCCTGGTAGACCGCAGCATTTTGTATTAGAAAGCAGAAAGATATGGCACAGATGATCCCCTCTCCTGCACTTTAGCACAACATGCATCCAACTGCACCTGAACTTCTGGAACTTGCTGATGCAGAAGGCTGTGGAGGGTGACTGCATCTGGAGGATCACAAAAAAATAAGAGAGAACTTAATGGACCAAAAGTCCAGAAACAGACACTGAAATGGCTAAGCAGGGCTACACTGCCTAACGTACCTAATACAGCTGCTCTGAGTGCTAGAAAAGTCAAGGGGAATGGACTGCAGAAAGTGGCCAGGCTGGTATGGTCTCCCTAAATAATATCTCGTTTCTCCTTCTGGGGACAGAACACTTGGGCAGCTGGTCTAATCCAGTTAGTGCCAACCCCAAATTCTTTTTTACATCCTGTGCATGTCACTGAGCCACCACTCAGATCCTAGAGCTCAGCATTCATTCTACTTAAACAATGACTGCAGGACTGCTCGGCCAAAACTGGCAGCAAACATGGACCTACTATTCACAGTAAAGCTGTCTAAAGGTAGGTGGACTGTAAGATCAAGTCATAGAGAACCAGGAACAGCTTTGGAGCAGAAACCGTGAGATTTCTTATCCAAGACAAATATTTCATAGTGTCTCCAGTAACAAAAGACACACTATTAGTGAGCGACAATTAATGGTTGTCTTATGGGAGAGCTCCAACTGGGTATGAGACAACCCCTTGGGAGATGTGGGATATAGTCACTGGTACCTCAACTAGATGCTGCATTATAGCTAGGTGACAATATCTATGCTGAATTAGCTCCTGGGAAAAAGTACTGTTGTCTGTGCATAGTGCAGTAAGGTGCATCAGCATGATTCTCTACTGTATTTGGTATTCACTTGGAAAAGGAGCACCAAAAAATACTGGTAGATATGTGCTTTTCACGGGTGAATTAACTCAGAAGTATCCATTATTAGTGGGACTAGCCAAACAAACATCTTTAATCCTGACATCTTTAAGTCTGTCATATTTAAGGATACAAAGCTTCAGGTCTGAGGATATTCCTTCTGTACGTTTAATTACAGACAGCTGCAAGGCACAGTGACAGCTCCACCTGCACAGTTACTCAGAAACATCACCCCGGGGGCATCCAAATCTGTCCTGGGATGTACGACAACAGTCCTGTGAAGAATAAAGAAGCACCTGATGAGCGTGTATAACATCCTTAAAATACTTAGGGCAGTTTGGGAAAAAGAATTAATCTGTTTGTATAGAAATAGAAAGAAATGCAAGAAGAAATAACATCTGCAAAGAAACACTGCAAAGAAAAAACATATGGAACTTCTATAGCAGATTATGCAAAAGAATACCCTTCCCACAATGACTATGTTTTACCTATCCATGAAAAACAGCTGCTGTCAGAGCCTACTCCATTTGTCCATGCTTTAGCTTTCAAGTTAAAGTTTCTACCACCGAACACGATGTTAACTGTTCAAGCAGGACAGACAGAGCAAACACAAATACAACACAAGCTACCTACGGGCTTCTCTGGTCCCTCTGAATTGAGACGGAACCCCGTCCTGTGAAGTGATACTGGGCCTTGACGAAACAACTGCTGCAACAAAAATGTGGAACTGAGAGCAAAGCCCAGTCGAGTTTCAAGCCCTGGTTAGTAAAACCTACTGTGGCAGGCTACTGTGGCAGCCTTGTGCACCAACCAAATGGATGGTTTCTACCAAAGTTTTCTGCATGCCCTTTGACACCAGGCAGTTACGAAGCGGAAATGTTATCAGCATCCTGAAAAATTCACATGTGCCATCTCCACAGTGCCGTATGTCTCCTCCTCTCCAGGCAGCAGAGTTCCCAAGTTGTCAAAACCAAGCTCTCCTGCACAGCAAAGAGCTGAGATGTTGACAGACACCAGCAGTAGCAGAGGGCAGGGGGCAGTGAAGGTAAATCCTCAGTGCTAGTGAGGAACATGCACTAGCTCCAAGTCTCTGAGGACAGATGCGAAAGAAGTTAGGCATTCCCTGCATCTGGGACACCTACTGACAACTGGTCTCAGTCTTTCTTAGAAAGAGCTTTTTAACTAGTCAGTGCACTTTAGACCTCTTTATTCTTGACTCATGCAGAAGAGCTGTTTAAATGCAGCCTGGGGCGTGGATGTATAGCATTGTGTTGTAACTGCCTCCCCAATATTTGCAAAGGGATTGCTTATCTATTATCTAGATATTATGCATCACCCCTGCTTGCTTCTTCCTATAGGCTACTACTGAAGCACAATACAATTGTGCTTGAAAGTCTTTTAACCCAATATACATTCACCTCCATGCACAGCTCACACAATCTGTTTACATCACTACACCTAACATTCTGAGATTGCAATGTAGCATCTGCCTGTCAGCCACCTAGCTATAAACCCTTGGAGATGTAGGCCAAAGGTAACTGATGGAGGGAAAGACAACTGTTTTGAAGCGTGATGCTGGCACCTCCTCAACATCATGTTTATTCTGTGGTCAGAGCTGCTCAGCTGTGCTCACATGTAGCACTGCTCTAATCATGAGAGGCTGAGGAAGAAATGAAGAGGCAAATCTGTCTTCTCAGTCAACCAGACCTATATTTGCAGGTGGAAACCTGTATTCCAGCTCCTTCTTGCACTGCCGTAAGTATGGGCTGCTTGATGTAGTGGCACTACATGAGACAGGAAAAAAATTCCCTTGCCCTTCTCCCAGGAGTTAGAGCCATTTTGCTGCTCTATTACACTTATTAGAGTTGTAATGAATGAGAATAAATGAAAACATAATTTTTATTGGAATCAGACTCACAGGAGTTTGTAATGGAAGGCAGAAGCCTTGCTCAGTGCATCCCACCCTGTGTCTCCTCATCTACTCAGGGATTTGGTATGGCAAGTTGATCAGCTTTACTGGTGAAATCCAGTTTTACTCATGAGCTGGAAAAAATATCCAACATGAGAACCAGCTTTGCTAGGCCCTCAGAAGAGGACACAAGCTAACAGGCACACAGGCTGGAACATTTCCCCAGCTAGAAGTAGCTGGGATTTGAGGTACAAAAGTACAAAGTCTGGAGGAGACTCTGCTGCTGTTACCAGAATAAGGAAAGACACTGCAGGGTCTTCAGACATGCAATTCTTCCCAAGTATAAACACTCAATTTACGGAATGTAAAACATTATATGAATCACATGTGCAATATTAGGACCACAAGAAGATAAAAACATTGATTTTTTTTTTTCTCCATGGCTCACAGAGTTCAATTCTGCTCTGATGAAACCAGCAGAAATCTTCGCCTTTGTCTTTCAAAGGACAGTCATGTCCTTTTACTCTTGCCTCACAGAGTCCTCCAACTTTTCACCTCCCTTGCTTTTAGTCCAGCTTTCAACAAGAGTCACTTAGTGATTCCTGTAAATTAGCAGTAAGCATACAGCATTTCTATTTTTTATGTCACTTTTTATCCTTCCTGCCTACTGCTGGTGGGGTTTAGTTTGTTTGGTTTTTCATTTCTAGCCATGTCTTTCCAGCTTCTCCTCATCTGTTCCACTCTTGAGTTGCTGTCCTTGCCACTTCTTCACATTCCTGCTTTCTACTTGACATCTGGGTTTAGGTACACCTCATGGCATCACTGTTTCCAATCCAACTACTACTTGCAGCTTTTGTTTGCACTGACCAACAGCTCCCTAATAGTTGCTGCCTCTACATTTAATCCATCACGAGCCATAGGAGACCTATTTTTCCCATGCTTGTCTAACTCTTGAAATCAAGACTGCAGATAATTTGTAGCATTAAAATCAATAGATATATAACTTAATAAAGAAATGTAGCTCAATTAATCACCACCCATACTTTCCAAACTAAAAAAAAAAAAAAAAAAAAAAAACAAATAAAAATCAAAGTAGTAGAATATAGCACTGGTTACTTCAGCAGTTATCTTCTAGGTATCTTTTTTGGCCCTCCATAAGAGCATCAGTAGTTCAGACAAGCATGAGTGCACAGAACAAGAACACAGCCATAAGATTAAGTACTCATTAACAGTAAATTTCAGCATCCAGATTCCTTTCCAATATGCCAAGAAAACCAAGATGAAGGACTGGCAGGAATTTCAGGCCTGCTGTATATATTCTTTTGTAATTTCTTTAAAGATGAGGTGAAAGAAAATATGCTTAGTTGTTTGTAAGACTCTTTAGAAAGAAGCAAAGTTTGCTTTGAAGTTCAGAAACTTGCAAGTATTTTAGCTGTGGCTGTTACACTGAACTCCTCGTTATGTGTAGCAGGAACAATCTGTTGCACTATTAATTTAAGAGATCTATATACCCCCACTATTAACGATGCTGTCATTAAGAGAAGATGGGGTGCTTCCTTCATAAGACCTGATCCTGCAGTGATCTTCACATCAGTCTGGAACTCACAGATGGACCAGGCACCAAGCCCCTACTTTCTCTTCTTTACAGTTTGTTTACTTCTTTTGCAACTTGCTTAGTTTCATGTCACCTTAGAAACCTCAGTTGGACTCCAACTGATCACACAGCTAACAGTCAGAGGCGTGTCAAGAAGAAGATACTCGAGTTCACTCGCATTTAGCTGATTTAGCCATGTTAACTACAACCACAGCAGAGCCTGGGTACCTGTACCAGGTAGCAGCAACACCAGAAGCAGACATTCCCTGCAGACAACTCTCAAGTGCACCGAGTAGATAGATGTTGATGTCTGCTGACTATTGTTTGTGTCACCTGAGGTGCAATTAGGTGCCCAAGAAATCCATGCAGGACTGCCAAGGATGGCACTCCAGGTATGTGACTCCTTTACCAATATGGAGCAGCAGCTGGAGTCCAGATGGGAGAACTGAGCACTTCCAATAGTGCTGGACTCCTACAACTAGATCAAGCCTCTGAACGCTGGTAGTTTAATCTGAGGTGAATCCCATGCTTACTTATTAAAAATGCTCCACAAAAATATGTAAGGAGATTTTAAGACACATTTTTCTTAAGTTTCATGGGACACAGTAGACCTCTGAGAGACAGCAGAAGAGTCACCATAGTTTTGGTGGTTTGAGGGGGATGAATGTCCAATGCACACACAACCTTTATAATTGTTCTATATTTTCAAGGGTTACTTTAGTAGAAAAATGACTGGAAATCTTTCTAAGAGTCTGGAAAGCCTAAACATTTTCAGAAGCACACAAACACAGGGAGTCAACACATCTGTATGAAGTGTCTCAACTGAACTCCAAAAACATTGCTTTTGAACGAGTAACTCTGGAAGATTTCACTATAGTCATCTGGACTTCGTGAGAGACTGAAATATAACATAATTCCTGCCACTGACAAAGAGTGACACTGTGTGATTGCACTGCAGTGGATGCTGCTGCAGAAGGTCTTCTGGACGCTTACAGAGAATAGAAAGGTGCATTCTGGAAAAACAGAAAAAACTTGTAAACCAGTTTTCTGGGCAGTAAAGCCTACAACCCTGCTGCAGATATTCAGGAATAAAAGCAGCCTTTGAACTGTATGTTATATGCAGCAGGTTGTTGCTGATAAGCCTCAAATGGGAAAGCAGTGACAGATCAGGCAGCTTCTTGTCTAGCTAGAAAAGTATCTCAACTGCTTTTGGGCAAAAGAGATCCCCAGTTCTGTTTCTCATTGGAACTGATTCCTCACAATTAAGGCTAATCCTTCATTTGATGTTTACTCAGTTTATTGCCTTTCCGCACTCTACACTGTCCACATCTGGCATTATGCTTTGCATTTATTCTAGCCAATATACATGTATTCATCAGCTGTGTTTGTTCTAGCTATGGTTGAGATGGCAGTTTCATTTTAAGTCTCTACATGAATTGATGGACCCATTACCTTTCAGGTGAACCTTCTCATGCCTGTTATCAGCACAGAACTTCCATTTTTTTTCTGCAAGTTGGTCCCTTTCAAACCTGTCACATTTAGATGTGAGAACGCGTCATTTTAGCAGAAATGCTTTTTGATATGAAGTGCTTTTTCATTTCTGTTTTTGAGGCTTTCCATTTTAAAGCAACTCTGAAATTCTAGGCAGAAGTATTTCTTCAAATGTTACCATAAACGTGAAAAAGGAAGGCACAAGACTATATTTAGGAAAGGTAAGGTTTGTAAGAAGAAGGAACACCACCACTCCTGTTAATGCATGAACTCCAGTGGGAGGGTAAAAGTGTGTTACTGTGAGAATGTTTGCGTCACGTTTGCATACAAACAGTTACACAGCACTGAAATGAGTCATGAAAATTCACATAGTTTCTAAAATGAGTGGGTAGGTTAATGCAATGGTGAGCTTTCAATTCAAGATATGCAAAAATATTTACTGTTCTGATTTCAAAAGACTTTAACTTCTGTCCATTATTCCTACCTACTACAACAGCACATGTAACTTCACCAAATTCAGATTTTGCCAGTATTTATCTATGCAGAGCTCGATTTATTTATATTTTTTTAAGGAAGGGTGGATTTTTTTTGGTGCAATCTATTTCTGGTGAAATGCATCATATCTCTGTTTTGTGACCACAACATCATCTGCTTTGTTATTCCCCCTCCTAGAAACAATGCTTAAAAACGGCACTATGCAACATCTTGAAGGTTATCTGAAGTAGGGCATAGAGCAGTGCTAGCACACTGACTACAGAAGGCGCTGCAGAAGACAAGGCCCTTCTCATGAAGCTTTACTTCCTGCCTGCAGGAACTACTGAGGTGATAAACCTGTTCATTGCAAGCACACAGGCAGCATAAAACTAGCATTCAGAGTGGGCAACAGCATCAGCTGAAGGAGTAACCGGACAGAATTTCTGGAAGTAAAAAAAAATCAGATGAGCAAAAAGAAAGCTGGGGCAGGCTGAGGCCTGGAATGGACAGGATATATATTTATGACAGACATCTGGCAAAGGGATAATAGTGATATCTTATCAAGAAGTCAAAAATAAACTTAAATTCTGGTTAAAAAAAATACATTTGGGCTAAGATGCTCAAATGTGCTGTCCAGGAAAGCAAGGAAGGTGTCAGAGAGCTGGGCTTTGTGCAAAGAGAAAGATGAGAAAGAGCTACTATTTTTGGAAGAATGCTTCAGTCCTTACCTGCAGAGTTGTGTCAGGCAGTATGAGGATGACGGAAAACAAGATGAGTACAGTCTTCTGTTGCTATAATAACAAATAAAAAAACCAAACATATAAACTAAAAACCTGAGTGCTGCTCATGTCCAACACCCAGGAGACAAAGCAGCAGGCTTACCACAGCTTGAAGAGCTCACTCTCCACTAAAAAGGTTTATAAAAGCAAAGGTAATGTAACAAACAGCAGAAATAACAATGGATTTTTCTTTCTCCAGTACTAAGTGCAATAGCTAAACAACTCAGAAAGACAACTCGTATTGGTAACTCTGTTCTTATACCAGCTAACCTAAGCACTTATCCATGCCATGGGTAACACTCCTATTGCTCTAGAAGAAGACATCACGTGAGGACTACAGGAACTAAGAACTGCCTGACTTCTGCATCTGTCATCCTCACAAGCTGCCTGATTTTAAAACATTAGCAAAAATGGCAAGGTAACAGCTTGTGTTTGTTCTGTCATCCCCCCACTTCAGGACCCCTGACGCACTGAGAGACAGACTGTGGGTCAGGTTCTGCTCTGCCCCATTCTTTCTGTAGTTATTTACACCTGTACAAACTGAGTGGAAAACATGCAAAATGGTACCATTTTGTTTTGATAGTGTTTTACCCTCACTTCACAGGGGTGAGAATGAATAGACAGGGTGCAAGGCAGTGGAGAATCAGGGATTCTGTGTATTAAAAAACAGTGCAGACAGCCACAGAAAGTGTCAAACCCCATACAAAAGGACTGTTCGTGCGTTCATGCTCAGCATCTGTGATCTGGACAGTATAAACAGAAGTCAGTATCTTTGTGCTATGGGGGGCTTATAGGGTTTTGTTTATATAATTTAAAAATCAGCAGACCTGCAAGGCTGAATGTTGCAGGGTGCTTTGCAAACAGCAATCTCACCCGTTCACAGCATTTCAGAAGCCTCTGGAGTATAAGCTGAGGAATTCTCTCATTGTTGGTATATGGTGAAGCCTATTGTCAGATGCCTGACACTGGCTCTCTGCCACATGATGCTGGAGCCTACAGTTTTAATTAAAAACCCTAAAACAATGTGAAGAATTGCTTGTCTGAAGCTCTGATTAGCTAGGATGCCTGCCCTTTCCATATGCAGTTAGGCAAGTAATAGCAACTATAAAGGAAGTCCTCCTACCCTGAAGGGTTAAGATCTGCAGCTCCACATGCAAGAAAGCCACCCCCCAAAAAACAGACCTTTGATGCTTGAAGCCAAGATGCGCTAACATATTCTGAAAGGGTGGACTCTGCATCAGTCCCCTAGCAAGGCAATGGAGCTAAATTCACAGATGTGCAAGAGTCATGAAGAATGAAAGAAGCATGGTGGCTAAAAGCAATCTGGTAGAGCTGTGACGGAAGGAGAAGGAAGGTAACAACCAGCAGAGCTGAGAGCTTCTCTTATCTACGTCAGCTGCCAATGACAGCTGGTGATTACTAAACCGGCATTATGGCCTTGTCCTCCCCAGCAGGAAAGGGCTTGACAGCAAAACCACAGCAGAAATAATGTGAGCATGTTTTCATATAGGCTGCCTAGAAAACAATTTAACTTCCACTCTGCCTAGCTATAATCAGCAGTGCCCCACAGGCATCAGGGTCAAAGTGCATCTTAAGGAGTAATTTGAAGGAGAACGGCTGCAGAGAATTTTCCAGACCTTTGTTCCAAGCATGGACGATAGGATGCAGGAAAGCATGAAGATATCTGGGTGGGAAAAGGACTAACACATGGTAAAGGCTGGCACTGCTAGCAGAGTAAAGGTCACGTTCAGCAATGTGCTAAGTTAATAGAACTGGAAATAATGGGTGAAGAAAGTCCAAAAAAAAGAGCAAGGTTTTTTTTGCTTGAAGCACGGAGAATGTAATGGAGGTTAGGTGCAGGTTTTCCTCTTTAGCTATCTGGTTTGTAAACTGATGGCATTTTTTGCCGTCTGGAAGAAAAACCCATGTATCCTGGGATTTTATTTTGGTCTCCCTCATAGTGTAAGCATGCTTGAGAACTATTAAGTTGAACAACCACTAGTTAAGCAGTTCAAGCTGGTCTCTGACAGGTTTCCCAAGCTGCTTCTAAATGTATTTGGCAAATAAATTCCTCCTCATCTGCTAATTTCAGACTTTTAAAATAATTTAGCTCTCAAGTACATAACATAAAGTGATTATCTTGTTCTTTACAGTCTGAGGGCAGAATCTATTTAGAACCTGAGCAGGCTGGCTACATGCAAGTGGAAAGCTTTAGATAAAATTCACTTGCCAACCCAGAGCAGTGAAACCAAATTCCCTCTCCGCTCTCACAGGCAACTGCTATACTACCCAACTAACAGCTACATCCCCATGTACATTCAGAAGCACACCTGAAGCTGGATCCAAAAGCTGTGAACCGACAGAATCTTCCCGGGTTTCACTGAATTTGCATCAGGCCCCATGTGCATAAAGCATTAAGACTACTGAGGCTCCATCAAAGGAGTTTCCACAGCCTGTTTTATGTCTAACCCACAGCCACCCCCATAACAGCTGATCCACGCAGACAGCCTGCTCTATTCTATACAGGAATGTACATTTGCAGCTTATACACATGCACTCAACTCCACAAAACACTACCAAAATAGCAGAAAAGAGAGCAATTGGCACACTGCAGATTGCTCCCTAAAACAATTCTGCAAGGTGTGTTGCTGCTCTCAGTACAGAGCAGAGAGTATCATCTCCCCAAATGGCAACGCCTTTACCAGGTTTAAAAAAGGAACGTCTGCATTACAGCAAAAAACACCCAGACAACAGAAAAATCACCTAAAGCTTTCCCATGACATTTGTTTTGCCTTGATGGAATCTATACAAACACTATTGAAATCAAAGTAGAAGTTCACATAAAAAAAAAAAAAAGACAAAACCATCGAATCAGAGCATGCCTACTCTGCACTAAATAATTTGTGTCTGCAAACCCAAATACCCCAAAATATTCATCTGCACTTTAACATTAGATATGTCTTTAAAGTGATGCTGGATACTACTGAAAACATCCTGTACCCCAAACGATACTAAACAGATACAGGAAGAATGATTTTTCCCATCTTGTGAAACTTTTCACCATTTCAGCAGTCTTACTAGCATGCTTCAGAAGAAAATCTCAAGTATTCTCCTGAATATTTTCTGAGAAAATACTCAGAGAAGTGGTCTGATGTTTAAAAGGCCTGTCAAAAATCAAGACCTCATATTCCATTCTTCCCAGTTCAGACCGTAACTCAGAATTTCCACTGTACCAGGTGAATGTCTCAAATGACCACTTCTGGAGTGCCTCTTATGTGAGGGCTACAAGGATCTCACCGGCTCAGTCTTGAACCTGTATCTCCCATAAGCTACAAAATTTATCTAGCTGGGGCTAAAATCAGTACAGTTTACTTCACAAGTTGTCCTAACAGGAGGCAGAAATACTGGAAACTTCTTCAGAAGCACTCACTTTCTGGATGGTTTGGCTTATTTTAACATGTCATTTCAAATGAAAGAAACATAAAGCAATGAACAGAGATCTGAAACTTTAATTCTCCCTCTCCCCTGTTCCCCTTTAGTTCTTAGACTTCCTTGTTCCAGCTCCAAGTCCTCATATAGCTATGACTGGTGGTTTCCATGGTCCTCCAGCCCTAACATGCTCAAACCAACCCATCATGATCTGCCTTCTGTCCCTCTCCATCAGTGCCATCTGGTTCCTGACAGCCACCTTACTGGCTCTGCACTACCCTGGCGCGTTCCCAGCTGGAGAGCAGTACCTGAAAGCAATCTATGGCCTCTGAAAAGCTTTCTGGAAAGGAGACCAGAATGTCCCTTATTACGATGAACTTCTGCCACCGCAGAATCATTTCCCACATTTACTGACATTTCCCCCTGTCTATGCTGCTCTCAAAAGAGATATTTCCTTTTCAAGGAAAAAAATATAAATCATAGGCTGTTAACTTTAAACCAGTGGTCATTTGTGAAACAGCTGATCAGAACATATACTGGTTAATAACTCTAGTTCTGTCTGCCAAGCTTGTGATAAATGGGACCCGTTCCTTCAGAGTGCTTGGCATTTCCATTACATGTTAGACATTTAACAACTCCCATTGACTTCCCATGTGGTAAACAGTCTTCTGACAAAAGTCTGCTTTAAATGACTTGTCCATCATCTCACAAAAAAACTTTGTGGCAGAGGCATGGATTGAATTAAATCCTTCAGCTGGTTTATGGGAGTGCCTTGCCTCTTTCACAACCCTTTGCATACCTTCTACAGTAACTAAGGCAAGGCTTCCACAGAACACAGCCTCTCTATGTAAGCCTCATCTATGCCACAAACAAATAAGCAGTCCTGCAATCAAAGATTACCATAGCTAACAACAGGCTGAACTATGTCGCAGAAAGGCACAGAGCTTACAGCTATGACGATCTAGCCTAGAGATTACACTTTGTGGCCTGTAAATCCCCAGCACTCCACAAGACCACAGCCAGAACAACTTCTTGGTGAAACTGTATCAGTCACCACTCATTTTCTTGTTGCTTTCAAGTTTTTTAATTAAAATGTGTGAAGTCACACACACAAAAAAAATAAAACTGGAGAATTGTTGGGGAAGTTTGAGACCACATCAAAACCAGGGTGTCTAGTTAAACCATATGCCAGCTGGGCTAAGGACAGCTGGACTCCAAAGTCAAGAGAGTACTGGGGTAGATCTAGGTTCTTTTAGACTTCTGTATTAGGAAGAAGTAAGTCACTACAGAAGCAACGATTTTCCCAATTGCCTGTAAACTATGTCTTGGAAGACAGGCTTAGATGTATAGACATCAACCAGACACATGCCTTAAGTCAAGTGAGGTGAATCCCATCTCCAGCGCCAAGAGACCTGTAGAGCTGTGAAAGAGAGTAAGGAGCACGAAACTATTGCCATTGAAGTGAAAACAAAGCAGAGTGAGAAGACAGGAATTCAAGAAACGGCAAGAAGTCCAAATTCTGACTGTTCAACAGAGAACAACTGAGATCCTCAGCTAGGTATAAACCAGCTGTTTTGTTCTGGCCCAAAACATTCTAAGAAGTCTGCACATCCTTTTAATGTTTTCAGACCTCTTGTCTCTGCTGGAAACAATAGCTTGAGGCCTTAAGTAATTTAATTTTGAGTCCATTCCCAATTACTTTCATGTTGCCAAATTTAAACATCTTGGGTGCACATATAGTTTCAGTATTTTGACAAAAGAAGTAGAAGGATTTCTCAAGCATATGTTTTGTAATAGTTGAAGGCATTCAGCCTTACGGAGCAATTGACATGAACAATGTGGTGGAATTATCTCCAACTGTATTTGTAGCTAAAAACCCATCAGGAGAACATACGACTTTAATTCCAACGAACTGGACTCTCGTTGTCCACCACTGCCTCTACAAGCTATATTTTGCAAAATGACTGTACATAACCCTTTGATGACCTTTGACAAATATTAAATCATAAAAACACATAGCTTGTCTTCCTGCAATCATCCATTTGCAAAGAATACATGTGCACTGAACTTCAACTATCACAAAAACCCACTTGCACTCCTGCAATTTGATAAGAAGCCTGGGTGACCTTTTGCTGATCTCTGTTGAAACAATGAGGTATGGATTTGGGATTTATCCTGTAGTATACCTCAGCATTACTCCACATCATCAAAACTGAAAAACTATAGCTTTTTGAAACTGAAAATCACATGCTTATCTCTTCAGGCCTAGGATTAAAGGTAACACTTTTAAAGGCATCTAGCCCCCAGTTTTAGAAGTTAGAGACAGATTTTTCCGGGTATGCAAGTGCATAAAATGCAATATAAACTTAGTAATATTTTCCATAGTACTTAACTTTCTTTGATTTAAATAAGCAGCCTTTCAGCTTTCTGAAGTTTCCGGTTGTAGCCTTTTTATGCCTTCCGACATTTTTTATGCAGATTTTTATGCAACTGGTTCCTCTCTTATAAATAGTATGCAGTGCCTCTGTAGTCACTTAGACCATCTGCAAAAGAAGTTTGCATGATGACATGTAATAGTTCCACACTGAACTTTCAGGCATCCAGCACTCATGAGTGTGAACTCATGAGTGTGAACATTCATGAGTGTGAACTAGGGGCACACATGACCTTTAGGCTCTACAGGCCTCAGAGACACATCATCCCAAGGCATTTCACCCAACCTATCCATCTCCAGCCTCCCAATGGGAGGAATGACCATTGTACAGAGACAGAACTCAACTAACCAACTTTGATTACACACCAAATTTTTAAAGGCTAAAACTGGGGTATGATGAATGAGAAAAATTAGTCATCTACAGTGGAATTAATTCACCTCACTTGGCACCCATAAATCAGGCTTCTGGTCAAAGTCAGTTGTCTAGCTTCTGCTGAGAACACTGGCCCCAGGTGAGGAGATTCATTCCATCCAAGAAGAGGTGTTGAACAGGCTCAGAATGAATCATTCTTTGCAGGCGTCTCTCTCTTCCCACTGACTGCAGAGAGACAACAAACCTCCAAATAGCTGAGATAAACCTCACCCTCAAGAATGGGTGAGTCTTCCAGGCCAGGCCCAGCATTCAACCTTCTTGCCATTCAGGAGATGCCTTTACCCCTGAGCTATAATGTCAGGCTCCCTCTTGTTTATAATCCCTCTGGCCTTTGAAATTTGCATCTGTTTCTTTACCATGGCAAGCTTGAACAGGATGGGTGGGTGTCCTCCACCTTAGCCTTATCTCTACTCTGGTCATGAGGGGTGCTTTGCAAGCAGAAAGGAGTTTATATCACCTCTGATGAGAACACTGAATCTGAGCACTTCCAGGGCAAGTGCTCTCATGAGAAAAATTGCTTATAAAAGAGCAGCAGTTCTTTTCTTTCTCTCCCCCTGAACTTCCCGACAGCTACAGCTGCTGCGCTTTGTGCTAAGCTCCATGCTGTCAATGCGCATTTAAGCATGATCTGAGCATACCTCCTGGACCAAGCCTCTCAAGAGATTCACACACATACCTGTTTTGTGATTCCCAGGTGGTTTTGTGCAGGTGACAGTCACCAAGAAAGTCAGCTTAACCTAGATAACACTCATTCTGGGCCTATAACAAAGCAAAGTTTTAACAGCCCAGGAAACTTCACTGGAACTCACGTGGTTCAGCAGGACTCGAGAGGGTGCACATCTATTTAGGATGTGGTGCATAGTTTGCTAAACTGCACTTCCAGTATCCAAACCCTGAGTGCAATTATGCTCTCCTGACCACAGAAAATTTTGCCTCTATGTATTAGTGAAAAAGGATTAAAAATGCTGTGGGTCCTGTCCTAACATAACCAATAACAAAAGCTTTGGTAAAGCAGTAAATCAGCACTGCCTGCTACAAGGGTTTCCAACACAGAGAGGAATCTACCTGAAGTGAACAGGAAACCAAGATTACAGATTCACCAACAGTCAGAAGACAGTCTCACTACAGACTCCATTTCTTCTCTATGTTCATGAAATAGTATTACTGAGCTTGAATACAGAGCACACTATATAAATACATCTATACTCAAAATTATAATAATTTTACAATTTGAAGGGGGGGGGGGGGGTTAAAACCGTACCTGGAACAGATTTTCAAAACCTTCTCCCACCAATCCAATTCCCCATCCCTCCTTTTTCCAGGGAAATTAAGCCAAGCATTTTGTGATCTCATTCCTACAGTCCTGTACCTAAAAATCAAAGACAGGCCAAAGTCAGAGGCTGAGGGGAGCTGGCCCAACCATCCGGATAACCAACAAAAACAAGAAGCAGCCTATTTTTTATTCCTTGGTTTATTCCTTATCGCATGAGAGGTACCACCAGTAACTTCCTGCTTGGTCTCTCTTCCTGTTCTATTCTAAATAGATTTTCCAGAAAAATTGCTGGGGATTGCAAAATTTGCAACATTTCAGACCTATACGAATTAAAAGGTATCACTAGAAAAGCTACGGTAGTTGAAAACCATCTGCTCTGTAAGCTATGCACTAAGAAGTGAGCATGTTTGATCCCATAACATAGAGAGCCACCTAACTGGTTCACTTCTAGAAGACATGCTACATAACTTAATTAAAACACAGACCTTGCATGAATAAAATAGTTCAAGATCTTTAAAAATAAATGTTTCTGCTTTAGAGTAAAAGTGTACGAGTTAATACATGGATTTAATACACCGCACACCAGGAACACTTACTATGCCAGAGAGACACATGCTGCTTCCAGAAAGATTTAATGGCAGTTTTCTTCAAGTAGCATCAGGTAAGAAACAGCCCTTTGCAGATGGCAGTTTATGTAGAAACGCCTTCAGGGCACTGGTCCTACTTACAGGAACAAGAAATCCTACAAAAGACAAGAAAATATTAGAACTGAAGTGTCTGAACTTGGACTTGATAGAAATGTCCCAGCAAAACCCCACAATTCAGGTAGAAACACCCCTCTTTGCAGGGTGGTGCTAGAAAATGCAGTCTGAGTAAAAGGCGTTCCTGCAGAACAGTAGTTCGGGAGTGTAATCACAAAATGATACACATGTCAAAACTGAATCAGAACAAAGGCCTGCCTATCCTGAAGTCCAGCACTTCTGACAAAAACCAGATGTGGAAAAAAAAGTGAGAAAATACATGTTTTGCCACAATACTTCCCAAGCCTCCAACAACATGCAGCTTTAGAATGTAACAGCAGCAGATGAGCGATGTCTAAATGCGGGGGTGACAGGAATGATACTGTAAAAAAACAACATTATTCCAAAGCATAGTGGGGGGACAGAAAATCTTACAGTCGGCAGATCCGTGGCATTTGCAAACATGGCCCAGAAAAGGCCAGGTTTTGGAAATGGGGGTCAGAAAATACATCCATGTGTTCTGTGAAGAACAGAAGGGTTCAGAGTGGGGTAGGTGCACTTGGCTGCATGCTTGCAGCCAAATGAGGTACCTGAGGTGAGGAGCAGTGACACCAGCCCTACTGTCGAGCGGTGCTGCCAGTGGGACGTGTAGAGCCCAGCCACCAGCAGCCAGGGGAGTCAGGAAGCAGGACTCATGCTCCCAGCAGCATGGTTGTTCACAAGCAGCCCCTGCAGCAGGGAGATGTCACCTGTGTCTGCTCTGGGGCTGCTCACACAGCTTCCCGGCCTGTGGTGCACAACAGTGGTGTCCCACCCGTGGATCCACTCCACCCGGACCAGCACCGGGGCTCTGTGAGCCATGGGCAGAATGCAAACGAGGGCTTGTGGCCGCAGCTGTATCCCAGCCAGCCAGCACTCCTGCACTGGGGGCATGGGGACAAGGAGGGCCTGCTGCATGGCATGGAGAGGAACACTGGAGCGGGGAAAGTGGAAATAAAATGTAAAACAAGATAAAAAATTGCCCTCCCCCAAGGCAGCTGCGGAGCGCGATGAAACCCCCTTTTAGGCACAATCAGCCCTGAGCATCTGGGCAAGGATGAGGTGGGTGCAAAGTGCACGGAGAGGAAATGTGTCAGCTGCAGCATCTGAGAGCAGCGGAGCAAACTCAGACGGGAAATGAGCTTGCAAAGTGCACCCAACAAGATGATCGCAGGGATAAGTTGATTCTATGGAAACTGCAGCCCGGTGAACCAAAAAGCAGTTCGATCGCAAAGTTTTAGCAGGAGCCGGCTCATGCCTGGTTTCAGCTCCGTTCCCCACCCCCTGAAGAAAAAAAAAAAAAAAGAAAAGAAAAAAAGAAGAGAAAAAGCTGCACAATGTGTTTCTTGTTATTGACCAGAAAAAAAAAAAATAAGAAAAAAAGAAATGGGGACACAGGTTTTTTCCTGTATGGGCTACATCATATTAAGCTGTAAGTTTAGTTCTGGACAAACAATCTCTTGTTGCATCTCTGGGATGGAGGTTAATGAATTCCCACAGATGATGTTGGCCAAACAGTGGTCGGCTTGTGACTTGATTTCCAGCATCATGATGTGAGGGGATCAGTATAGAAAAGCACTTTGAAGGGAAGAGGCTGCCTACAGCAGGATTGTTTCTACAAGCTAATTGTACTGAGTGCAGCTGCACAAAGCTGGATCAACAGTAATAGAAGGCGGCGCAGACTTCCTGACGCCAGCCCCGCAGAGCTCCCACCAACAGCCTGGCAATTCCAGATTGTTTTCCAGACCTTATCTCTCCCCCAAGTTTTTTTTTTTTTTTTGGTGTGTGTATTTTTTTTCTTTCGCCTTTTTTTTAATTTTCTGACCGGAACACAAGTAACAGGAAAATCCTTTGTGAAAGTAGAAAATGCTTTTACAGATCGGTGCCTTTCGCATAAATTGTAACTAAGTATTTTGCATGCATTAGTCTCCCGCTCCGAAGAAAGTTAACAGCCCAAACCCCAAACTTTCTAAAACTTGTTTGAATGAGTTGCAAACGTGCAGCAAACAAAAGGAACCGGGTGGTTCGTTAAAAGCAGCCGGGTTCAGGGAGATGTTTTACCTGGTACATTGAAAACTCCTGTATCAAAACGTATTTGGACACCCCCTTCCCCCTATTCCCCCCCATGGCGCGGGGAAGCTGGATGGTGTCAATGGCTTGGGAACAGGCCAAGTTTTAACAGATTGTTCAGTCCGGCTTCATGGCTTAAATACGCGGCAATTAAACCCATTTACATTAATGTTACACGGTTTAGGTAAGTTTCGTTAGAGCAGGGGCTCAGAGTGCAGAGGGAAGCAGGAGCCCCCCGGAGCCCCTCCGCCCCGCCTCAGGGGCTGCTGTGGGACCCGAGGCTGCTCTGAGGCGGCATTAAGAAGCGAGAGGTCGGACAGCCTGCCCAAAACGCGGGATATTTCCTCACAGAAAACGTATTTTCTTTCTTTTCTGGGGGGAGTAGGATCCACAACACTGAGCCGTCCCCGTCCCCCCCCCCCGCACCGCAACCCGGCGCGCTGCTTCCCTCACGGGTCGCGGTCGGCGCCGGGATCCCTCTCTCTCGGACACCGCACCCCCACCCCGCGATATTGCCCGTTTTACTCGGTTCTCTCCCCATTCTGCGGGAGCCCCCGCTCACATTCCCCCCCCCCCCCCCCCCGCATGGCGAGGTGTCCGGCTGCGGCCCCCGCTGCAGGTGCGCCCGGGAGCGGGAAGCGGGGCAGGGCCGCCGCCTGCTGCCGCCGCGGGCGCAGCCCCGGTCGCCATGGCAGCCGCCTGAGCGGCGCCGCCGGGCCCGGGCGGCGCGGGCGGGGGGGGCGGCGGCAGGGCTGATGTCACGGGGCTGGCGCCGCGCAGTCCGGGCCGGCCCCGGGCGCGGGGCGGCGGGGCGGGGCGGGGCGCGTTGCCCGGGGCGCGGGGGGAGCGGCGGAGCGGGGGGGTCGCCCCAGGGGTGGCCGCGCACCCCATCGCCGCCGCGGGCTGGCGCCGGGGGCCCCCCACGGCGGAGCTTGTCCGCATCCCCCCAGCCCCGGGAGGGGAGCCCCGTGTTTGTGCTTTCAAGAGGGGTTAAGGGGGGAGCGGAGAAAAAGCGGCGCTTTGTGCACGGCGAGCGGCGAGTTTTCTGGCCAGATGTTTGCAGCAGCGGTGCGGGGTAGGAACCGGCTGTAAAAATCCCCGCCGAGCGTCCAGGCGGACGCAGCTCTCCAGAGTGCCCGCTGCCGCGCGGGGGGCTGCGCGCTGGGGAAGAACCCCCGGGAGCACCACCGCTGGTTTCGGGGAGCCCCCACCGCAGCGGGGCTGCCACCTCTGCCAGACTTCTCATGTGAGGGAGTATTCCCTCGGGTCGCGGCCGCAGCTGCCCGAGCTGCCCGCACCGCACTGGGGTGGGGGGTGTCGGGAGAAGCCCCCGCATACCGGCGTGCCCACAGGTTTGCCTCCTCTCGCATAACTTCGCGGTGGCTTAATCAGCGTGCGAAGCCTGTAATACGGAAAACCGGGTTTGCGAAGCGCTCCTCTGGGGAGCCGGCCGTGGTGTCCGAGCGACAGACAGTAACCGCAGAAGCAGTAACATACCTGTTTATGTTGGCTATTATTACACCAAAAATAGTGTCAAAATTTCGTCCAGGGGTGCATTCAGCATACGGAAATACAAACACGGCAAAGGGCTAAAATTTGTGGCCGCAGAGCAAGTATCGGATACGATAGACATGGAGATTTCAGTGGTAGAAAGGACCGAAGTCGCTCCAAGTGGTGACTTTAACCGAGTCGGTAATTGGCGGGATTGGTTTTATCATTATTATTTACTCACTTTAAGCCCACCTGGGCATTGTATTTGCCCTCCCGCAGGCTGGATGTCGGGACTTAGCTCCGGCGCCCCGGGACGCGGGAATTCCGACGCTCGCCGCCCGGCCCCGGGGCGAGCACCCCGGTGTGACAGTGGCCACGACGTCCCGCGGGCGATCAGGCAGCCCGGGAACGCAGCGGAAATGGGCAAAGCCACCGACCTAGCTGCCCGCAGCTGTGTCCCCAAGTATCGGGAGCGTGTGTCCTACCGCTTCCCCAGCACAGCGTGCATCAGCCCCGCGCCTCTCTCCCCTGAGCAGTTATGATTGACAACACTCTCCCGACGGACAGCGTGGATGTGTGCTGTCACTACATGCTTGCTTACAGTGAAAACCAGTGTCCCTTAAACATCCGGGTAGCTACTACAGAACTGCTGCGTTTTGCGTAGAATTTAATTTGTATTAATCATATATGTGTGTCCACACTGTGTGGACAGTGTGTGAGAAGAGGAACGGAAGGTGTGTCGTTACGTTACACAGGCATTAGTTAAGTGAATATAAATAATGGGTCTAAACTCAAAAAATAAAAATAATCGAAGTTTTTTCTCCAGCTAAGCGCACACACACACATCTCCCTCCTCTCCCATCCCCGACTTTTTCCTCTGGAATGTTTCTGGAAGATGTTTCATTGGCTGCAACCAAGAGCTGCAAAAAGTACAGCGCGTAGTAAGCGAGTATGTGCATTTGTCACCAGAAACAACCGTCGCATCTCTAGTGACAGCGCCGTGTCACCGCACCTACGGGGTGTGGACGAGTTGCCTCGTAAGGGCGATGCCTGTAAATGCACCCCCAAGTGCACATGTACTTAATGAGCATCAATTAACTGCGCCCACCCTCTCGGGGGGGGGACCAGCAGCGGTGACGGCTCTGCCCAGTCTCCCGGTGCCCGCACTCTCCGCGGCCAGGGCTGCACTCGGAGCAGTATGGCTCTACTCGCGATGCTCGCACCTGCAGCCGCTCACTCACGCTGCCGTATTTGTGACAAGTACGCACAAACCCCGCTCCACGGTGTAACCCGCAGCGGGCCCCGCCACCCTCTTGCTCCGGCGGTACCGGGTGTCCCCCACCCTCACCCCAGGCCTGCCCGCTGCGCCCTTAGGAGGCGAAGAGAACAGCGACGGACTCAGGGACCCGGGTGCTCCGCACCGGGCCGCGCGCCAGCGGACCGCTCACTATTTACTCCCTCAGCTGTGCGGGCCGGCCACGCCCCCTGCCGGGATTGGCTCTCCAGGCGGAAGGCCCGCGCAGCCCCCGCGCTGCCCGCCCCACCAGTGAGGGCGCCCCGGGGTGATGGACGTGCCGCCGGCCGCCAATGGCAGCGAGCGCGGGCTGGGCTCGGCGGCGGCGGCCGTATAAGAGGAGGCCGCGCAGTCCCGCACCTCAGAGCGAGCTCCGGCAGCGCGCAGGGGCGAGCAGCAGTGACGGCGCGCAGGGGCGAGCAGCAGTGACGGCTCCCCTGAGGCTGCTCGCAGGGCTGTCTGTCTGATCGATCGATTGTCTCCGTCAGCTGCCCACCGGAGCCGTTTTCTCCGCCCGCCGGAACTGAACTGCTCTGCTCTGCTCTCTCCCCGCCCGCCTTCCAGCATGAAAGCTTTCAGCCCGGTGCGGTCCGTCAGGAAAAACGGCCTCTCGGAGCACAACCTGGGTATCTCACGGAGCAAGACTCCCGTGGATGACCCCATGAGCCTACTGTATAACATGAATGACTGCTACTCCAAGCTGAAGGAGCTGGTGCCCAGCATCCCGCAGAACAAGAAAGTGAGCAAGATGGAAATCCTGCAGCATGTTATCGACTACATCCTGGACCTGCAGATCGCCCTGGACTCGCACCCCAGCATCGTCAGCCTGCACCACCAGAGACCTGGGCAAAACCCTTCCTCCAGAACTCCTCTGACCACCCTGAACACAGATATCAGCATTCTCTCGCTCCAGGTAAGTGATCTCCACCGAGCCCCCGGCTCCCGCTGCCCGAGGTTGGAGCTGGTTGGCGCTTGCGGCACCAGGTGCGGGTCGCTGCGGGCCAGCGCAGTGACATGGCGGTCCCCTCTGCCCTCCCCTGGGTCCCCAGCCTAGCTTGCCGCGAGTGAAACCCTTCATGCTCCGGGACCCTGCTCTGCCTCTTCCCCTTGTGCGCGGGCACCTCGCCCCCCGTGACTTACCCCTCTGCCGTTTTCTTCTCGTAGGCGTCTGAGTTCCCCTCAGAGCTCATGTCGAGCGACAGCAAAGCACTTTGTGGCTGAATCAAACGGTGAGTCCAGCGCATCTCGTTTCTAAACTTCAGGCAAAAGGTTCCTCCCTGGGGAGGGGGGGGCGTGATGGTTACTTCCAGAAATCAGTTCTAAAAGTTGATTAGGAGATGCCATTATAATCGGTAAAAAATAAGCGAAAAACTGAGCCTCGTATTCCGAAGTGTATTTCGTTGCCAAGGTTGAGGCAGCACAGGCTGCTCGGATACTGCTCACTGCTTAATGCAAATACTCTCGTTATCGTTTCTTGGGAGTCTTGGTTTTCTGGGCCAAAGTGACTGATTAAGTTGGGAATCTTGGCACATTTCCTCAAAATTCTGTGATGTGGGATTGTCTGCGCTATCAGTTAAATGAGTGACTGCTTTTAATCAAATAATTGCTGTAAGAGGCAGACTGGCGCCTCCGAGCATTGCAGTTACAGAGATCTAAATAAAGATTGGGCTGAGAATCCTCTTTCTACCCTTTTCCCCTCGAGTGTATGTTATTTTAATGTTCAACTTGAGCTCTTGAGAGCGAGTGTGTGAGTGTGTATGTGTTGCATCTGGACGCCAGCGTTTGCCCAATCTCTGAGTGTTTGGTTAAATGTTCAAACTGCGGCTTCCTCTCTGGCGCCAGTCTGTCCGGATCTCTGCCCTGTTAGCATGCTCCTAAATATGCTTCTTTTCAATCTCTTGCAGGTGTTCCACTGATGATTTTTTTTTTTTTTTTTTGCACAAGAAAATGTCTACAGGATTTTTTTTGAGGTGCTGAATTTTTCAGCTGTATCTGGAGGGGAAAATCCACGTTCAACAAAAAGGACCTTTTAAAGTTAATGAAGAAGAAAAAAAAATAATCAAGATTGATCTTTATCCCCACCCCATTCTTCAACTTGGACTGAACCTAGTTATTTATGAAGAGACTCTTAAATACCCTTTCCCTAGTTGGAAGGCTTCCTTTATATACTATTCCCAACGTGGGGAGCGAAACAAAAATCTCACAAGGAGTTGCCCATTTTAAAGCAGACTTTGCCTTTTTTTTCCAAAGGTGGAGCGTGAGTACCAGAAGGATCCAGTGTTCAGTTTTTTAGGGAAGTCCGTGGTCAGAAATTACCTTTTTGACACAAACCTAGGGCTGAATGCTGTGTATATATTTATATATAAATATATATATATGAGTGAAACCTTGTGAACTCTTTAATTAGAGTTTTCTTGTATAGTGGCAGAAATACACATTTCTGCAAAAAGTGTAATGATGTACTTAATCATGCTAAACTTTTTATAAAAGTTTAGTTGTAAACTTAACCCTTTTTATACAAAATAAATCCAAGTGTGTTTATTGAACTGATTGCTTGCTTTATTCTTTGGGGACCAACTGCTTGCTTGCTTT